ATAATAATAATAATAATAATAATAGAAATCCAAAGGATAAATGATAAACTATAAAAAAATTAAGTAACGGTAGTGATGATAGGTTGGATGCGGATGTCAAACACACACCTCAAGTTTTTTTGCACTATTTTATGGACAAAGTCAAAAAAATTATTCAATCTACAATTTCAAGCAGTATGTCAGCTGCGTCGTCAATGATACAGACATCACCTATGGTCGTTTTATTCACATCGATCCCAAAGATCACTGAGGACGATCCCAAAAAAATCAATCTAAAACTTGTTTTCTAGACATCATGCCAACACATGTTTCTAAAAAATATCTTGATGTGTTCATCTGTTTCTTGACGAATTTTATTAATCTCTGTCTACGGCTGGGTAAAGTACCAGAGTATTTTAAGGATGCTAGAATTGTACCAATATTGAAAAAAAATTGGTTGTGATGGTAATGTGATTGTGAACTATGGACCAATTTCTAATCTGCCGTTTATTTCAAAAATCATGAAACGCATTGTCTTGATGTGTCTGCTGAAGTACCTGGATGAAAATAGTTTAACCCATTAGTGCCTACTGCGCCTTAATAGGGTGCGGTCATTATTTTCTTTAGAACTCTTCAGAATTAAAAAAATATTTACAGTTTCTGGTAATATTAGCGTTGTTTACAATTTATAATAAGTAATTAATTCATTTCTTGTTGGTGTTCGCGGTAGATTGTCAGAAATTTCGTATTTTGTTAAAAAAAAGTTGATACAATGGCGAGTGCTAAAATGGCATCTAAAAAGTTTGTTTTTTTAATAATAATTAATGTTCATTCTTTTGATGATTTTTATTACAATTATTCCTACTTCTAAAATGTTTGAAAATCCAGTATTTTAGTGCTCTCCACAAACTATTATTAGTTTCTCAATAACTGCACCTTTAGGTGCAGTAGGCACAAATGTGTATATAGATGCATTTATTGGTTCATTTCTTTTTTTCCACTTTATTTTCCGTTATTTTTATATTTACAGATATACAGTCAATGAAGTTTTATCAATGTTGGAAGATGAAACGTTTTTGGATGCTGATGTAATTTGATTGCCTCCTTGTTCTGGTAATTGTTCGGATGAAGATAGTGGTGACAAAGAAGGCACAAATGCTGACAATCTTAGTGCACAACAATTGACTGCCCCGGCTGATTTCAGAATTAACTATGAAGATGATATTGTTGATAGTGTTGATAAACTATTCAAAGATGATGCTTTACTATCAGCTGAAATACCAGAATTCATGAAAAGTGAATGGGTTAGACACAATTTACCGGATAAAGACTTTGGTCCAAAACCATTTGAGAGAAAATTGAATATTAATTTGACACCAACTCAACTTTTTAATGGCTTTTTTGATGAGTGTCATTAATTTCATTAAAGACATGACAGAGTTATATGCAAGATGAGATAAAGGAAAGCATAATTTTTCTACCACATTAGAAGAAATTCGTATTTTTGTTGCTGTGCTTTTGTCAGGTTATGCATCTCTACCAAGACGACGTAATTATTGGGAGAACTCTCCTGATACGCAAAACAAAGCAATGTCAAACTGCATGTCGAGAAACCGATTTGAAGATTTAATGTCAGTTCTTCATTTATGTGATAACGACAAATTAGATAAAAATGACAAATTGTCAAAAATTCGACCTTTTTATGCGATGATAAATAGCAAATGTTTTGAGTAGTTCTTGAATGAAGAATATTTATCAATCGATGAGTCTATGGTTCCGTACTATGGGCGACACATCACAAAACAAAGGATAATGGGTAAGCCAATACGAATGGGCTACAAAATCTGGGTTCTTGCAACATTTGATGGCTATGTTGTTCAGTTTGATCCATATCAGGGAGCCAAAGGAACTGCCCATAGTGTGAGAAGTTCAGCCACAAACTGGGGTTTGGGGGAAAAAGTGGTGCTAGATTTGATGGAAGAGTTGCCACGAAATGTCCCATATAACTTATATATTGACAATTTTTTTACAAGTTTTCGGCTGTTACAAAAATTGAACGAAAAAAAAATTAAATGCACAGGAGTAATTAGATACAACAAATTGGGAAAATGTCCCATTATTATTCCCAAAAATTTAGAAAAGAAAGAAAGGGGATATTTTGAATGTATGACAGAAAAAAATAATTTGTACACCGTTGTTGGATGGAATGATAACAGAAGTGTTTATATGGCCTCCAACCATTTAGGAACAGATCCAATAGGCCAAGCCTCTAGATGGTGCCGAAAAACCAGTTCAAGAATATCAGTTGAACAGCCACATGTTGTAAAGTTATACAATAAATTTATGGGAGCGGTCAGTTGATGTAACCAAAACATTGCAGCATATAGGATTGGACTTAGAAGTAAAAAATGGTGGTGGCCGTTGTTTGCCTGGATTCCAGACATGGTGATGCAAAACTGCTGGCATCTTTATAAAAAAACAAACACGACGAGGATGAAAATTTAGATCTTTTGTCCTTCCGAAGAAGAGTAGTGCTTGACTATTTATCAATGTACAATTTACAAAAAAGTACACCTGGGCGTCCTAAAGGAAAATTAACTTCAGCAAACAAAAGAGTCAGCATCGATGTTAGAATTGACAGGATTGACCATTTTCAAAGCCAATTGGAAACTCAGAAGCGATGTGCTCACTGCTACAAAATCACTCGAACGCAGTGAGAAACATTTCGCACATTTGACATCCACTGAAACAGTGCAATAACCTTGAAAGTTAATCTTAACTCATCAAGCCAGTCACCACGTCACGTAGACAACAAATTCTAAAAATAAGATTGAAACTAATTTTGAATATTAAATCACTGGTTAGAAGTAAAATAGTTAGATTGGGGGTTCAAATCCAATTTATAGCATCTCAAATACATTCTCGTTGTTATTAGCATCTTTTCCATTGACAGGAATGTATATAATGTCTCAACATAAAAAGCTAGTTATTTCTTTTATTTTGTTTGCGAAAATTTTAATATATTATGGATTAAATTTATGTATTAATGTATTTTAAATATTATTTTGCAAAAAACAAATCCTATTTAACTGTTGAATATTTTAAAATCAGTCATAAGCATAAAACCTATAAAGGACGCTAGCAGAATGTGATACCCTGAGATTCACTTAGTTATCTCATTACAAATGTTTGTTTTTCAATAGTGTAAATACAATAAGCACTATCAATGAATTATTATTAGTTTGTATGAACATAATAATAAATTTACTATCTATTGTAAAGATATTCAAGTTAATAAAATAAATTTTTTTTTGTTTTTTCAGGAAAATTCTGCTATGAAGTATTCTCTGCAAGATGTTTTAACCATGATTGAAGATGATGACAGCATCATTGAAGCTGACATTTTTATCAGTCCTCCTGCTGATGGAATGAATTCAGATGAAGATGATGTATTGGATGAAATACATGATCAGGGATCATTTGATGATCTACCTGCACGACAATTACTGAGTAATGCCAATGCAACAATAAAACACATTGGTGGATCTAAAAAAATTGGCATTGTGAGTATTTATTATGTTTAATATTTTTTAAATGAATAATAAATTACTATCATAATTCAAAGACATTAATAATTTTTGAAATTATTTTTTAAAAAACTACAATAGATTGATGAATCATGTGAAAGTGATAGTAGCGATGAAATTTTCAATATCTCAGAACCATAAAAAGATAAAAGAACAAGACAATGAAAAAAAGTTGATATATTTGTAAGTCATCAGATGGTCACCATCTACAAAAAATGCCCAAACAAAGAAAATGTGGCCATTGTGGCAAAAAGACAAACTTAATATGTTTTGCATGTGATGTACCACTGCGCATTGCTTGTTCGCCTGATTTTCATAAATGATTTTATAATTTTTTCTAATGACTTATATTTTTTATTTTATATTTTCAATCTTTTGTTTATTTGTTATATAAAATTGATAAAAGTTAAGAAAATAACAATAAAAATTAATTTCAACATATTCTGCTGGCGTCCTTTATAAAGGACGTTTTAAAAAAACGCTCTAACTTTTTTAAAAATTTATATTTAAAAAAAAAGAAAGAATACGTATTAGTTTTTTTTATTGTTATCTACAATATGTATAAAAATTACGAAAATCTAAAACCTCAGTCAAAATGTTAGCCCATGCGTGTCCCGAGCAGAACCTACATTCCCTAAACGCAGACATAGGAAAGAGAAAAAGAAATATTCAATATTCACACAATAGTAAAGAATTGGTTGAGGTCTACTAAAGTTATTTTGTTTTATATAATTAAATTAAATATGTTGATGACAAAACAATTTCTTCAGGCAATGAGTTCTATATGCGAACAATTCTGCTACCAAAAAAGTATCTGGATGTGTTGCTGTCGGAGTTTGATTTACGTAGTCTGTAAGGATGTCCACGAGTTGATTAAAAGGACAAGAGAGAAAACAGATCATTCAAATTAATGCTGATAACTTGTTTAATATTTTGTACAAAAAACATAGGTCCGAAAGTAGTCTGTGATATTCTAACGTTTGTAACCCCCCTAAGCACAGACGAGTTGTGTACGGAAGATGACGAACTGATGGAATGAATTTTGTGAATCTTCTTTTCACACTTTCTATCATTGTCGCTTGTCATTTGTAGTGAGGATTCCAGACGGACAAGCAATATTCCAATAATGGTCGAACGTATGTGCAGAAAGCTTTGGTGAGAAGGTTTTTATCTTTTGGAGTAAAACATTTGGTGATCAGGTATGTACGTGTAGACGCTCTATGAGTGATGTCATCAATGTGCCTACTGAAATTGAAACGATTACTGATTATTACGCCAAGATTTTAAAGTGGTCAATAAGATTCAAGATGTGGTGGCCAACCGCATATTAATTAACAAATGTATTATCAGATGAAGGAAGTAATGAACATTGAAAGCATTTGTTAGGAGAGAGTGGCAGTTGCCATTGTTTACTCCTAGCGATTTGTTTTTGATGACCTGTTGCAAGTGAACTGAGTTAAAAAAACAAGAGTACAATTTTACGTCATCCGCAAAAAGCAGCAATGGAACCAGGATGCAGGGAAAAAAATCATCAATATCGGTTAAAAAAAATGAGAAAAAGGGTGGGCTAAAGAATGCGCCCTTGAGGAAAAAAACTTGCAACTGGTATTTAACGAAAAAGTTAATTTTGAATTTGGACTCTTTGTGAACGCTCATGCAGAAATTCAGTCAACCAGGCCAGTAAATTTCCAATTATGCCGTAAGCTTTTACTTTGCGAGCAAGCTTGGCATTAGAAACAGAGTCAAATACTTTCTGAAAATCGAGGCAGATTGTATCACAGCTTTCTTTTTGTTGACGAATAAGCAATGAATCTTTAAGAAATCTAATAAGGTTGGTAGAATTAATCTACCAGAAAAAAAACCGCGTTGAGAATAAGTAATTAAGTTGTCGTCTAACAAATTCGATATTAAAATTTTTATTAACAATTTTTTACATGACACGGCATGATGAACAGGTAAGAGATATCGGTCTATAATTGCAAGGATAATTAGTTGGACCTTTTTTTTATTTACTGACTGGATGATAGCAGTTTTCTATTTAGATGGTATTGAATTATCTTTAAAGGATAAGTTAAAGATGTGGCATAGTGGAACAATTAGAATAGCGGCACACATTTTGAGTAGAATGTTAGGTATTCCATCGGAACCCACAGAAGTTGTTCTTTTTAGCTTGCGAAGTTCTTGATAAACTATATCTGGAGTGAAATTTATATCATCTAATGATTCGTTAGTACGGCTTGGCAGTGAACTTGTACTATTATCATCAGCGGTAAAAACATTGGCAAAATAATCATTGAATGTATTAGCCATCACAATGCTGTCGTCATTTCGCAAACTGAAAATCTGTGGTTAAGAGAATAGTTTGTTATTGATATACTGATAAAAGCCTCGAACATTACCTGATGCTAACAAATTGGCTTCACTAGACCTTCGATAGAAATTAGCCAAATTGCAACATCTTCGAGACATTATTAAAGAGTTTTGTCGTTTAAATTAGAGCTCTGTTTCCATTTCTTCCAGAAGTAGAGTTTGACTTTGTGTGACAATTATAGTAGTTTTGGTATTCTACGCCTGGTTTCTGGAACCTTTTGACAAATTTGGGCACAAAAATTGATATGGTTTGATTAATTATCTGTTCAAAGGTTTTCCAGCACCTGTTGGTGTTGAAACAGCATTGAAAGTGATGATCCCAATCAATTGTAGTTAGATCTGAAGAAATTGAGGAAGCAACTTTTGTTTTTAGGATTAACATCTTGCAATCTTTTGGTGAAGTTGTTGATTTGAAAAGTGTTACAGTTATGGTCACTTAATGCAAATGGAGCGATAACCTCCAGCTCAGCAAGAAAACCGCAATCATCAGAAAGAATCAAGTCAAAAATATTACAACCTCCGGTAGGTTGATCAACTAATTGATGTAAACTCAACTCATTGAAAAGTTGAATAAACAAATTATAAATTCGGTTATCTGGCAAAGAGTAATTTGTCAAATCAATGAGTGGAAGATTGAAGTCACCCAGCAAGCAGTTAGCTTTACTTGTACACAACTCTCTAATGCATTGAATACTGTGTGTTGCATAATCATCAGCTGATTTACGAAAGCCTCTACTGCGGTATTAGCAGATGAACCTGCAATTTGTTGCTGACATAGAAACATCAAGACTGAAATATCTTGTTGGCATTTTTACCCTTGTATGGTACTGAATTTTTAACAATGATTGCCACTCCACCACCACGTGATCCACAATCCTTTCTAATATAACTAAAACCTGGCGGCATAAATAAATCATCATAATTATCTGAAGTAAGCCACGTTTTTCAAACAGAAAAAATATCAGGATTATATTCGGAAAGAAACAAATTTATTAATAGGTCATTCTGTTTATTCTGTAGGCTTCTAACATTGGCCATTCGAAGAGGTGTGGGTTTATTTGTTGAGACGGAAAGGTTTATCATTTTTCAACGGTGGATTTAATATAAGGCGTCGCTCCTGTCGCTAGAGAAAGGCTTGCTCAGTTTGTTTTTTAGAAAGATCATGATTAATGAAAACATTCTTGGTCTGAAACGCTGAACGGAGAAGTCTAGATGATGATACTAAATCGTCAAAACTAAAGAACTAAAGAAACTTGAGAATGATTTACGATCAACCGTTAGAAAAATCGAAAAGTTAAATTGGAAGTTAACTAATGCCGAACATGCTGTGATTTTCATCAATTACATTTCTGAAAGTCTTAATCCAATATATATATATATATATATATATATATATATATATATATATAATAAAAAATTTTTCAAGATTGTTTCTTTTTTCGATGCATGAGATCAGTATGAATTCTGTGTAAAACCGTTGAAATCATAAGCACATTTAAATTTTATAATTATTTAAATTAGAGACGGCATGTTAAAGCCCTTGCTTATTGCCACTAAAAAAGTATATAAAAAAATGATGCAGTATTTAAGTTTTAAAGTTTGAATTTCATTGAATTGCATTTAAATTTGTTCCATTCAGCGTATTATTTATTAAGGAGATTGCCAAAACTTCTTCATTTTCAATTTTTTTAACAGAATACTCTCAAAGCAGTAAAATATAATGTTAATGTTATAAATATTCGTATGTTATATATGTTTTTGTTTCTTGTTTGTAATTTGAAGCAATATTATTACAATTTAGTTGCAAACAGGTCAAAAATAAAAATATTATTTTTATAAATTTAGCTGTTTTGTAAGAAAATAGAAATTGTTGTTAGACCTTTTTATAACCTCTCATTGTCTGCATTCATTACGTTTCTAACAGAGCTTTTTCAAAAGGCGTTCTACAAGTCTAAAGTTTGCATTTAAATTTTTCTGCTGGAACAAGTTTGCGTGTTTGCTGCATGCAAATATATTGTTGCTGCGTGGTAAGATAGTGGCGAAAAGAGTGTGCACGGAATGTTTTTGTAAAATTAAACGTTTTATGAACGCCAATCAATCCATTTTCAAAAGCACAAGACAATTAACACGTAAAATGAGACTTCAAACTTTCAGTTGAATTTTACTGTTTTTTCATTCATATTTTCAAAACAATAACGTTTGTTTAAAATTAAGCATCGACTTTATTTTTCCAATAAAACTACTGGCGTGAAAGCAACCGAACGCTATCTCACCTTTATATATTACAAGTTATCGTTAATTTTCAGGTCTGAAAAAATTATTAGTAATTTTTTAAACAGTTATTTAAATTATATCAAATTTGCACAAGTTATAAAATTTTCACTATAAAATTTGTTGTCTTTTATAAATCAGACTGTTAACATTTTTTCAAATTATTACAGGTTATGGATAGTGGACAACCTAGCGACCAAAATCAGGTAGCAACTTTTGTGATGGATGTGGGAGGGGGCGCCGGCGTGCAGCAAGTTTCGTTAGCCTGTTTTGACTGCCATCTCAACCTGACTGGGCACCGGTATATCGTAAAAGATGAGAAACCTCACTGCATCAAATGTTATGAACAAATTTATTCAAATTCATGTTTTGCGTGCAAGGGCAAAATTGGAACCGATCAGAAGGTTGATTTATTTCATTTATATTTTCATTTTTATCATTTAAACGTGTTACCCAAAATTTAAAATAAATCACAATAATAATCGATGAATATGCATTTTTTCTTGATGTGAAATACACCGATTCGAAAGAATTTAAAATTTAGAAATGCACAAAAGGTATGTGATGAATATAGTGTTAAATATCCGGTTGATATTTCTTTAATTTGTTTGTGGTACTTCAGTTTTTGTTATTTTAGTTTAACAACCGTTTATTTTATGTCAACTTTTTTCACTTTTTCTAAGTAAAGCTTTTCGTTTTATCTCGCTTGTTCAATTTAATTGCTGTGAGGCTACTCTAAACAACTATTCAGCGTTTATTTAATACTCAATGCTTGCTTTCCGTTTTTTAACCAGAAGATAATAAAGCTGATAAAAAATTACTTATCTGTTTTAAATTTATAAAATTATTTTAATAAATCACGACAACACTGTTCTGTGCGAAGCGCACAGTCTTAGTTTTCTCCGCACTGGGCACAGTGCGCACAAAATTCATTTAGTGAATTCATTTAATAATCACAAAAGTCCTTGAATTGATGGGATATGAAAGACATGAAGAAATAATATGTAATTTTAATTACCTATTGGCAGTAGGAAAATATTTAGACTTAATTTTGAGCAAATTAAAGTATTTCATTTATTCACAATAGTCGTTTTTGAATTCAAATCAATTCGTGATTGTAATGCCAAATCAAAGTTGATGCGATTTTTCTTTTGGAACCATAGCATATTGGCATTTCACAATTTCGTTCCGTGCCCAAAACAAATGAGAAAAGCTGGAAAGAAGAGCACAAATATATTCTAAGTATCCATATACTTAAAATACCTACACCTGTCCCGAAACGCACATTTTTTGCGCGCTTTGGAGTCTGGTCTTATTCTTTAGTTTCCGTTATTTTCATCAAGTTCATCAAAAGATACAATTTTTACATTTTTATCGTTCATTAATAAATATTTATTCATTTTTTGAAGATTTTATTCATTTTGATTGTTTTTTTAATTGATTTATTTTATGCATTTACATAATATTTAAGCATATTTAGTATCTTTTTTCTCGCTTCATACAACCACGCTGATTTGGGATCGTCCTCGCTTTCTTAATCTCATATACTTAGAATAATGGACATTTAATTTAGCACATGTAAAATTAAATAGAGATAATCTATTAAAATCAAATAATATAAAATAGCACATTTCCAGTGGAACTGTGTTTAAAAAGAGGATTCATACTTTTATACATTAAATGCAGTAACGCTTATCTTTCTATAAACCTTCAACATTGGTAGACATGAAAATATTCTGTTGTAACTCCATGACTCCATAACTACCAACACCAATGTTATAGCTTCAATAGTCTCATTATTTCCAACACCAATGTTGTAGCTTCCAACGATAATCAAGAGTTCGTTTATCCGTAGGTTCAAGATTTCCGATAAATGAACACAACTGCTTCAAACGCAAACTTTGTTTATTTGAATACCAAAAGTAATAGGAACAATAAACTAATCCAAATAACTACATAAATAACATTTACGACTTCGCTTTCTTTTCGCTTGTAGCCTCTCTGACAAAGCCTCGCTCGTAGGTCTTACTTATAGCCCATTTTATAATCATAGATACAATTATTATTATTATTATTATTATTATTATTATTATTATTAATTTATATCGCGTCCTATGCATAGCTTCAGGGACGTTTCGATAAACAATGACTTTTGACGTTTCCGTAGGCCTGGATAAACAAAAAGTTCTTTGATCGTTTCCTAACGAGTCTGATGGTTGGTTGTTGACGAATAATTGCGGGCAAACCATTCCATATGGAAGAAGAGCTGTACGTAAAGCATTTGATGATAACTGATGAATTGCTGACAGGTTGATGCAACTGAGTATATGAAGACAAACGAAGTTGAAGAAGATATGATGGTTGAGATATATTAAGTTACTTGTACGTGAGGACGGCGAGTTTAAATATAATCTGTTGACATACTGGTAACCAATCTATGCTGGAAGATAAATTACATCAAATAAACTAATTGATAAGCAAACCAGAAAAACTAAAATAAAAAATGAGTGAATACATAAATAAGTGAACTGAATAAACTACTCAAAAAAGTAGTTGCAAACTACTAGTGAGTTGTTAGTAACTACATTTAACTACTTATAATTGGTAACTACCTATCTTGGATTTCTGCTTTTACAATATTACTTTTAGGATGATAAAATAATGCAATGTAAATCAATTGCTTTCTAGGATTTATCATACAAAGACAAGCATTGGCACGATCAATGCTTCAAATGTCAATCATGTTCCATTAATTTGGGAGACAAATCATTTGCTTCAAAAGAGGACGCTGTTTATTGTCCGGACTGTTATGACAACAATTTTTCTCTAAGATGTGATGCATGCAATAATGTTTTCAAAGGAGGTAAGCTTTTTAAAAAAAATAATTTTTCTGAAATAATTAAGAACTTAAACCACATCAAATTTTAGGATGCGTACAAATGTGATTTATATGTGAGTTCTCAAAATTTCAATAGTTTTAGAGAAACGTGAAGTTTCATTAAATTCGGCACTAATTACAATATAAGTTTAGCTTCAATTTTATGATTCCATGGTTATTGTTTAATTTGATTATTGAATTTAAAAAACAGTTGTTTCAAAATTTTCAAAAAAAAATTGAACATAATTTTAAACATTTTGCTAATGTTCCCTATTTCCTCCCATTCCCGCCCGATTTCTTCCCAAATTCTCATTTATGATAACGTTCCCGAAAATTTACATTTTCTATTTTTTTAACTCATTTCCGCGTTTTCCCTGCCATTCTCCTTTTTTTCCCATTTTACAATTTTTTGAATAACAAGAGTAAATTTTCTTTTCAAAATAGCAAATATTAAGAACGCATCTTTAGTACCAAACAAAATAAAAATTCAAAAGCTCTAAAAAGTATTAAAACAGCAATGACAAACTACATATAATTTTACACATGTTTATGAATATGCTATGCACATGCACACTATGTGAATTTCTAATGACCACACGTGTGCATATGTGTGGGTGTATGTGTCGACCACAGGTTCGCGTATATATTTTTAATGAAATTTCTTTTCTTTCATGTCGTTATCTTTTTTGTTAACGCACACGTGTGTGTGTATGTGAATGTGTGTCTCGATCACGTGTGTACGATATATATATATTTATTTATTTATATGTGTGTGTGTTTGTGTGTGTGGAATTTGCATGAGGTATGCAGTTTTTTTGTATTCTTTTGTGCTTAGTTGAACGGACAGTGTGAATGTATATTATCGAAATTGATGTAAGTGTTGTACATGTGTAGGAAAGTATCCAATGAATATGAAAATATGTATGATGCATGTGTATACACATGTGTAAAAACAGTATTAATATTAAATATCAAATAGTGGGGTCAGCGACGTAACGACTGTTACAACACTTAGATCAATGTCATGAAATTGATTTTAAATATAAATAAACTATATAAACTATATCAATGTCGATAATATACATTCATACTGCCCGTTCAACTAAATACAATAAAATACAATAAAACTGCATACCTCGTGCAAATATATATATATATATATATATATATATATATATATATATATATATATATATATTTCATTTTTCATTTCATTTCAAATTTTTATTCATAATCAACAACATATCAAATAAGTGAATAAAAGTTATGAAGTTGAATATGCGGAGACCGAATAAGACTGTTTGTCTTGTGGTGGCCACCGCAGGTAGATACATGAATAATTAATGGAATAAAATAAGGAAAATAACTGAAGCAGAAAGATAATTGAAGATAAATAAGTAAATGTTCGTGTCATGCATATATAGACATATAACTATGTAAATGTTCGCTCAGTACATATATAAACACATAAATGTTTAACCATTCATAAAGACCATTCATCCGCATCATTTGTTCTAACGTATTCTTAATATAGTTTTAGGTGGTGGAGTCGAGATCCAGTGTCAATAAAAAAGCACGGAATTTTGACTTGAAATGTTGTAGGTTTATGATGGCTCTTAGATGGGGAGGTACAAGTTCTGTCCAAATTTTAGGATCTGTTATTTTTATGCTTGTCTGGATTAATTTGAGGCGAGTTTTGTAGATATAGAAGAGAGGGGTGTCTAGTGGTTGTAGATTGGACGGAGTTATTTAATGTGTAGAAGTTGATAAAGTGAGGTGGGAGAAGATTGTTGATAAATTTAAAAACGATTAAAGCAGAGTAGTAAGACAGATGAAGTTAAGTGGTAAAATTTTTTTTTGCTAGGAAGAAGGGTTTAGTATGAGACTCGGGTTTGAGATTAAAAATTAAACGTATTGATATTTTTTGGGAGAGTATTATGTTATTCAGGTGGCTTTTTGTGATCGATGACATCGAAGGCTTTGGATAAGTCCAGGAAAATGCCAATAGAAAGATTTTTGTTATTCATTTCATTTAGTATATGCTGAGTGAAGTCAAGAATAGCAAGCTCATTTGAGTGGTTGGGTCTGAATCCGTATTGGTTATTGCAGATAGTATTGTTGGAGCAGAAGAAATTAAAGAGTCTTTTAAAGAAAAGTTTCTCAAGAATTTTTGACAGCGGGGAAAGAATGGAGATGGGTCTGTTCCATTTTTGTCCAACATTGTTATGTGCGTCTTCAAGTTTGTTAGAGAAGTAGTCTCGTTCAGTTTTTCGTTTAATAGATGTGAACATGTTTCTGAAGCTTTTGTAGATGGCAATGTTGCTGGTGGTTGGATATTTAAGGCTGATGATGTATAGTTTGTTTTTCTTTTTTGCAAGGCTTAGAATGTTGTCATTGATCCAGCATTTTTTCTTTTTGTTTTTGACAGGACGGAGGGGGGCAAAAGTGTCTAGAGAGTGAGTTAAGATAGTATTCAAAACAGAGTGTGTATATATATATATATGTATGTATATATATATATATATATATATATATATATATATATATATATATATATATATAAGAAGCTTCGTGTTATATATATAATGATATATATTTAGCATGAAATTTCTTTATGACTCCATTTGCTTCTACGCGGTAATCTTCTTTGTTAACGCACACGCACGCGCGTCGAGTTGCATAGAAAACTGACATTTCGATAAAAATTAATTTTTTCAAATTTGGGCATATATGTGGTCTTTTCCATTTTTCTCATTTTTTCCATTCTAGTCCATCATTCCCGATTCCCGTTCCCATGCTCACCTCTACCAACGACTTGTTCTCAATTGTTTTCAAAGAGCTGCTGTTTTAATTATTTTTAATAAACACAATTAGCAAAACCAAAAAATTGAAATCACTTACTCGTAAATTTTAATTTATTATGTTGTAAAAGAATAAAATAAATTTTTTGTCTGTATACGAGAAATGGAGAGGTAATTTAATCATTAATGTTTTTAAACACTTTCATTATCTTGCTGTTTAGGTATGAAAAAGTACGAGTTTCAAGGTAAAAATTTTCATGAGCAATGTTTTACCTGCAAAGTTTGCATGCAGCCGATTGGTGTTAAGACGTTCATACCGAAAGATCAACAGCCTATCTGTGTTCCATGTTATGAAGAAAAATTTGCACAGAGATGCGTTCAGTGCAACGGAGTAACTCATTTTATTAAAAATTTAACGTACAATAAATAGGGCATATGTACTTTCACAACACGAATGCAACACTTTTCATAACAAACCTTTACTACACACATGACAAGTTTTTATCATATTTCATTCTTATATAACATTTATTATGATCTGTATTTGAAATGTAAAAACACAATTAGGTCATCAACAAAGGTGGTATTACATACAAAGATACACCATGGCACAAGGAGTGTTTCACTTGCACGAACTGCAAAAGACAATTAGCCGGAGAAAAATTTACAAGTCAGAACGATAAACCTTTTTGTGCTGAATGTTTCGCTCAGTTGTTCGCAAAAAAGTGTTGTCGCTGTACGAAACCTGTTACAGGTATGTGATTCTTCATTTTTTCTAACTTTTAAAAAGTTATTATATTATAATTTTTTATTTTAATATTCGCCAATTTACAGGTTTGGGTACCACGAAATTTATTTCTTTCGATGATAGGCATTGGCATAATGAATGTTTTCAATGTTACAAATGCACCAGCTCGTTGGTTGGAAGAGGTTTCTTGGTCAGTGGGTTGGAAGTTCTGTGTCCTGCTTGCGGAAGAGCTTAAAGAAAAAAATGATAAATATTCGAAACAAAATTTATGAAAATTTGCTTTGATCTTAGATGTTTTGTGTAGTTTATTTATATTTAAAATCAATTTCATGAGTGTCAATCTTACGTGAAATTTCAATTTTATCTAGTATAACTAATTAATACACATAAATGAACACCAATTACATAAATAGATAAACTTTAAAACGGCGTTCAGTAATTTCAGATACACTGTCGTATTTAAATTTATTGACCTGGCTATAGTTCAATGAACTTTCTTCACCAAATGTTTTTAAATTAATAAATACTGCATTAAGATGTAAAATATTTAAATGCATGTGGTTGGTAAAATTTATACTCCAAGTGGCTTGTTTCTGACGTAGCTATAAACATTGTGTTGATAAGAAGAGCTTCAAGAGCATTAAGTCGATTTTCAACTGACAACATAACCATCATTTACAGAACTCAAAATTTTATTTGCAAATATTTCTATAGCTTAATCATTACTTTTAATTAATGCTAAAATTAAGTCATCTCTACAAACTCTTTTGATTTCTGCTTGTACACATCTGACAAATTACAAAGTTAGTAGTCAAGTGTTCGCGTTTATTGTTTTGCTATAAGTTTTAATTCTGTCTGTAGTCTAGCTGTTTTCAATAAAAAATTGAAATTATTTTTTTATGAATTTCTATTTTCAAACAAAATTATGCTTGTTCATTTATTTGGTGTGACTCGTGTGTACTTTTTATCAGAGCAATACTAACGCGACTTGTAAAACTTTACAATTTTATTTTTGTGAAAAAGCATGAATTTAAATTTAGGATTTCAAATAGCTGGGAGCCTTATCAACTGATGATAGACATTAGTGCGTAAGAAATCGTTCAAGAAATTAAATGAAATTAACCTGCTATGTAAGTTTGTGTAATTTAATAAACAATAATATTAATTATTGCATAAATTAATATAGAAAAGTGAGAAAATATGAGTTATTAAATTTTGTAACTTCAGTCGAGCTGTTCAAATTTTAAAATGCTTCCGTAAAGTAAAAGGAAGAAATCCCATTGGAAGAAAAATAATTATTTGTGACTTAAAAAATCGTGGCTACGCGGTTATTCTGCGAATAATCTCAATTTAGTCTAAAATAAAATTTATTTGAGATTACATTGAAAACACCGATTAAAATGATATTTCTTACTTCACTTTGCGATTTTACAGAAAAAACGTGACATTCTTTCTTCACGGACAGTTCCAATTAAAAATATTTTATCAAACACATTATAAAAATATTTCTTATGGCTATTTTAAAGACAAATTTATGAATTGAAAAAGTTAAAAACGATTTAAACTACCTGCGAATCAATAAAAATTGAATTTTGATCGAATCAGATGTATTTATTTCGTCACTGCGCAACACAACCGTCATCAAAAAGGAAACACCGGAACTACAAACAACAATCTACTCATTAATTTTTTTATTACCAAAGACAAAAGTTAACTATTACTAATATTTGACAAATATCGTGAACGGATCGTTAAAAATTTGCAGTTTTAATTTTCATGGTAATTTTTAATAATTTTTAATTTATTGCAAAATACACTTTTTTTCATTATTTCGGGGGGGGGTTTGAACCCCAAACCCCCTCCCCCCTGGCTACGCCTATGATCACATCTAACGGCGAAAAATTTAATGCCAATCAATCAATCGGCCTATAGAAGCTACCATTCGACTGAGACTGCATTGCTTCATGTTTATTCAAACTTGTTTGCGGGTATGGATGGTCGAAGGTCATTACTCTCCTTTCTTGATATGTTTTCTGCATTTGACTGTGTTAATTACAATAACTTTTGGAAAAATTGCATAACAATTTTTGAGTGTCAGGAACAGTACTTGCCTTGTTTGAGTCATACTTAACGGGTCAAACTCAACAGGTTTTGTTTGGAAAAGTTCCATCAGCTGTCAAAAAGGTAACAACATGTGTTCCTCAAGGATCAGTGTTAGGACCGTTTTTTTTTACTTTATTCATTCATAGGATATAACTGAAATAATAAATTCGCATGGACTCGTTGGCCATGCATACGCAGATGATCTACAGATAATTGCTACAGGTCATTCAGAGATATTTCAGATTGAAGTTGTTAGACTTGTTAGATGCTTTATGGAGATTGAACGTTGGATTTCGAGCAATTCCTTGAGGTTGAACGGAGTAAAACCCAGATGCTTCCTGTTGGTACATTGCAGAGGTTTTTGTGGCTTGGTTTAAACTTGATTGACGTAGGTGACATTGAGATGTCAATTGTTTCTACAGTCTTAAATTTGGCTGTTTGGTTAGATCGCTTGCTATTGCAAGTATGATACATGTCAGAAGATTATACAGGATTTGACACTATTTGAACAAATCTGCTATGGAAACATTAGTACATGCTTTTATTACATCTAGATTGGATTATTGTAGCAGTTTGTACTTTAAACTATTTGAAAAATCAATAGCTGCACTTCAGTCAATTCAAAAAAGAACTGCAAAACTTGTCACAAAAATCTGAAGTTTGATCATGTGACTCAAATCTTAAACGAGCTACACCGGCTAAAAATTGAGAGGAGGATAATTTTCAGAATTGCGGTGTTAATGTTTCGATAATTAATGGTTTGGCACTACAATATTTGACATGCAAGTTCATCAAAAAAACATATGTGTTGGGCTCACACTTAAGATCAACTGATACGAACCTCCTGGTTGTGCCAGCAACGAATTTACAGATCGGATCACGCAATATTGCTGTTGCTGGACCTGTGGTTTGGAACAGTTTACCGGCTTTTTTAAGAAGACCAGATCTATCTTTGATTTTGTTTAAAAAAAAGTTGAAGGCTCATTTATTTGTGCAGAACTAATTTTTATTTGATTAATGTTTATGTTCATTCATTTTTTAGGGAGCGTTTTTGAGATCTTTTGTAATTGGCGCTGTGCTTGGCTTGTAATAATAATAATAATTAAAACTCTTTTAATACAAAAAATCAGTCAAATAAAATATTAAATAGAATAAAATATCTTTTTTTTATTATTCTTTAAAATCAGGATCTGACAGACGCAGAAACTGTAACAACATGCAAGGCAGTAAAACAAAATTAAACAAATAAGTGAGAAAATAAATACAAAAAGTGAGGAAGAGAGTAAAATATATTAGAATTAAAAAATAAAATATGTTAGAATAAAATAAATAATAATAATAAGAGAAATAAAAGAAAAGTAATTGACGATGGAATATAAAATGAAGTAACGGCAAATAGACTAGATGATGACTTAGTGAGGTGATCGATAAATAAAGGCTAGGCCTGTGAGTGAAAAAGTTTTAATGAGTATTAATGTTTGATGACTTATTAATAGACTAAATGATGACTTAGTGAGTTAATGAGGTGATCGATAAAAGTGAGGTGATCAATAAGTAAAAACTAGTTCAGTAATGATAAAGTTTTCTTAAGCGCTAATATGTTTGAGATGTCTTGTGATGAAGATCTTTTCCTGGTATGTAGATTGGGCGACGACTTGATAGTTATGTTTGCGCTGACGAAGGTTGTGTGTTGTAGTTTTGATTGGTGGTAGTAGGGGATGGATGACGTGGTTGTTGTTATTTTCTATTTTCTTGAACAGCCTTGAATCGAGTGTGTTGAATATCTGAATTACGGTAGGATATGATGCAGGTAGGTAGTTGATCATTGTCATTTAAATGCACAATAAAAACCCCATTACTCATTATCTATGATAAGTGTAGTTAGGTGACATATTTAAACGGTTATAAAATGTTTCTGTGGCAATAGACGGCCTATGTCGATTTAATTGATTTGTCAATAAAAGAAATAGGCCATAAAATTTTAATTAATTGTAAATTGAAAGTATTAAAGAAGCCAATTTGAGTAATTTTAAACGTATTTAAACTAATCAAACAGTTTTTAAATAATAATAATAATAATATATACAACATTCTTAACTCTAATTATATATATATATATATATTGTCACGAAATTGTTTTCAGCACGATATTTGGATGCGTTGTACGATAGTGGACAACTGGACATGCTCGTGTTTATTTTGTGTTGTATGCTGGTCTTTAAGCTTTGCTCGTTGGGTTCGAATAAATTAAACGTTTTTTAGTATGTATGTTGGTTATTGTCTGGTGATATAGTATTGTTATAACAGACCCCTTGAACTTGTAGGGTATGGTTATTTCTCTCTACGTGGATTCTTGATTCCTGAACAAATTTATTTCAAATGAACTTTATCAGAAAGAAAACACTGCTAGCAATCACTTGTGTGTATTGCTGTGATCAATCCATCGTTTATTCAATCGATAATGTCGTTAGAATACAGCACAATAACTAATCGACGGGTAAATTACGGAATACAACCAATCGTCAATAATTAAGCTTCTCTCATCGGACTAATTGTATTGCGTTCTCCTAGCTCTGGCGTCCTTTACTGCAGTGAGTTTCCAGCTATCAAAATCTTACCTCTGTCACCAGTGTGTTATCTCCTGAAGATCCCATTTCTAACACCAGTGTTGTAACCTCTTCGACCTCGTAACTATCAACACCGATGTTATAGCTTCAATACTCGCTATATCTTCAACACCGTGTTGTAGCTTCCAACGATAGTCAAGAGTTCGTTTATCCGTAGGTTCAAGATTTCCAATAGATGAATGCAACTACTTTTAAACGCAAACTAAGTTGAATGTTTATTTAATACCAGCAGTAATAGAAACAATAAATTAATCCAAATAACAACGTAAATCACATTTACTAATTCAACGTCAACAGTTGTTCCGTCTTCTTCTTACCTGTTCTCCTCTCTCTTGTGTATCTGTCCTCTCCTGTGTCTCTGTCGAATCTTGCTTTGGCGTTGTTTATATATCTACCGAATTGCTTGTAAATGTTTCACCTGCCGTGTCACATGAATTTACAACCATTTTAATTATTTACGCCTTCTAATTAATTTACAAGCACTTCACGCAATTTCTAACTACTGGTTCTTATCTTGACTTCACACGTCTGTAACAGCATGTATTAAGATTAGTTTGGAGTAGAGGTATCGTAATTGATATTATAATAAATTATTTTGTATCGTATCGTACCGTTTTGTATTGTATTATTAATTAGTAATACTGAGAACCGTTTAGTAGTGTAATGCTAATTAGTAATATTGAGAACTAGAATCATTTAGTAGCGAATGTTAATTAGCTATATTAAGAACCATTCTGTATTGTATTATTTATTAATAATATTAAGAACCGTTTTGTCTTGTATTATTAATTAGTAATAATAAAAACTCTTTTGTAGAGTTATATTAATTAGTATTATTAAGAAACGTTTTGTTGTGGATTGTTGATTAACCATATTATTATCGAACTAAACCGTGAATATAGAAGATTTGAATATCGAACTGTTGATCTGATTTTTGTTATGATTTTCGTTTATTAAAAAAAAATATTTAAACGAGCCTGGATTTGTTATACCTCCGAAAGTAATCCGTGACATATATATCTATAAAAATTGAAATTGAAAAACTGATGGTGCAAATAAACGAGGCAGAACGACAAACCAAGATTGCAGTGAAGTCATCCATCGTGGTTGAGCTACAAACTGAAGCCAAGAAACAAAGAGGCAATTTTTAGAGTAAACTTCTAACAGAATTTCAAAAAAATGAAGAAATTGTCATTTGCCGTGCAGACA